GAAACAAAAGAGTAACGATAAAAGTAATAAATACATAGCCTACACGGTGCACACCATATATGTATGCATGCATGTGTATGCACATATGCGTATACATGTATACACATTTATATTTGCACGTTTCACTGCTTTCCTGTGGAAAGTTAGAAGGTTTGGGAAGCCATGTTACTTAGCTGCCTGGGATCTGGGGCATGTTGCTTTCAAAGTGGCCCCTACAGCTGTCTGCCTGAGCCGAGGAAAGACAGAATGATCCGGCTCTCAGTCACACTGAACTTGTGTGACAGACCATGTAAGAAGCCAGGTAAGAATTGGCCCCTTGGATCTACAGCTGACTTTGATTTACTCTCCCAGGCTTTCAGAATCAAATCTGCAAGGGGGTGATTTAAATCCCATTGTTCCTCGGTCTCACTATTTAGATTTATGGGTGTGGGAGAACGTCCTGGGACTGGAGACTCTTTAAGCTTGGGCCTGGGCAGAGCAGCTGTCTATCAGTATAGGACAGGCAGCCAAGGTGAGCATCTGCACGGCTGTGCTTATCCAATCTCATATTTCTTCAACCCCTGCCACAGTTAAAGGGTGTAAATGGGCGCCTTACATCGAATCCCTCATTGGTGTTGTCCAACAGTCTCCGCTTAAGTTCCTCATCACCTCTTTTCCTGGAGTTGTAACTTCTGATCCGAAAATATCAGGTTATATAATATGCCAATCTGCACAAGGATGGAATTCTGTCAGGAAAAAAAAATGGACCCAACGAAGCACAAATTCTAACAAAACTGGAAATGACTTTTCTAAGAAAAGAGAAGATATTTTTGTTTCAAGCCCTTGAAGCTGGTTTTAAATAGACTTTGGATGCGATGTTTGCTGGCTCTTGGGGCACTGTTGATTCCCCTGAGTAACCTCACCCAACGAATGTTTGCTGGAGGTTTAGGGGGCGCCAGTGCTGACTTACAGCACCCTAAAGTAGGTGGCATTATCACAATATGCAGGGGAGAGAAGCAAACCTCCCAAAATAACCTGCCTCAGGCCATGAGGCCACAATCCCTAAACGGTGGAATCCCCAGCAACATGCTCCCACAAAATAACAAAAGGCTGAAGGGATTATACCAGAAAGAATTCAATTCTGTTGGAAGAGAGTCCTCTAACCCGAACCCCACCCTTCTGCTGGAACATCTGCTCTCTGCTTAGCATTCCATTTGCTCTACTCTCAGGGTTCCTCTGTAAACTGAGCACTGGTTGTGACCCCCACCCCCACCCCCACCCCACCCCGGGGCAAGGACTGACTCTTTCCTCCACAGGGTGGTTTCATGGCTTAATGCCCAAAGCCTGCTTCCACCCAGAGATGACTTGATTAAAAGCCGGACTGGCAAACCAAGAGCGGGAGAAATCTCTAGAGAAAGGAATCTCTCTGTCCCTGACACCTTCTCCATCCAAGTACATGGTAATTTCACAGGCTAGCCTGCTTCCTGTCCCCAGCCCCTTCAGTAGCAGTACCAGGAGGGAAAGCCGCTAAACCATAGGAGCATCTACGGAGACAGTCATGCATTCTTAACATCCAAGGGGGCCTACTGCTGACAGGCCAGCACAGGCTGGCCCAATCCCACTCAGAGAAAGGGCATCCTGGTCACCCTCACCAAAGAAAACGGATTCTTTCACAATACCCAGAAACAGGGAAATTCCACTTTCAAGCTATGGTCTGGCCTAGTCACCAACCTCTGCACTCCTCTCCAACACACACACACACACACACACACACACACACACACACACACACACACGCAGAAAACTTGTTCTCGCTACCACCACCTGTGAAAACAGTCCTTGTAACTTTAACGTAGAAGCCAGCAAAGTATAGCTTCACGGTGCAAGAAGCGCACCCAGGGTCTTAAAAAAAGTGATCAGGCATTGGAAGGAAGGGAGGCTTGCTGGGGACCCAGGCTGGGTCTTGCTCCTGGTGGGAACTTGGCTGCCACAGCTCGGGTTTCAGTGCCTAGGCCCCGCCCACTCTGCGGACCGGCCAACGCCGCTGACCACTGATCAGGCCATCAAAAAGCCTTAAAGCCCAGGGCGTCCAGCCCAGGTTGGCAGAAAGCTGAAGGGGGCCGCAGCCAACCCTGGAAAACCCTTCCCGGAGACTTCTAGAGGCGGATGAAGAGGCGAATCACGTGGGGCCAACAGCAGGGCTGGGGAGCTAAGTGTTGGTCCCCAGACCTGGAAACAGGTTGTCGCTGAACCCATCCCCACCCCCAAGCCACCAGGCCGCGAACCGACTCCCGCCGTGCCCTGGGAACGACCCCAGCCGCCTCCGGGCCGCGGTCCTCCTTCCCCAGCCCCAGCGACTGTGCCAGAGCCGCTGAAGCAGCCTGGGCGAAGGCGCCTTCAGCAAGGTCAGGACGCGGCCGGCCGGCACCTGGGGATTTTTCCCAGCCCGGCGTCGGCTTTGCAATCGCATTGTTAAGGATCGTGGCAGAGGCAGGAAATCCGAACAGCCCCACAGGTCTGCGCGAGGGAGGATTTATTTCACAGCGCCGAACACACTCAGACAGACCCGGGATTTCAGGGGGGAGGGGGGGATGCAGAGTTTCAGGACGCAGGAATGTGGCGAAAACAAAACCCTCCCCACCCATGCGTGCTATCTTCTGACTTGGGGGAGGGAGTTCAGGGCCACCAAGTCCCAGAATTCAGCGTTCCGCAGGGTTCTGCCAGGGCTGGGATAGCTTTTCCCTCTACAGGCGAAAACACAAGCTTTAAAAACACGCCACTACTGTGGTTCTCTATCAAAGCCCATCAGCGTGCGACAGGCTGCCGCAGCGAATGGAGGAACGGGATGGGGAGTGGAGGCGGGGGGGGGGGGTGAGCGCAGTCGAAACAAACTGTTTTCGGTCTAGGAGGGAGGCGAGGGGGCAGAAGCCATACCACGTACCCATTCCCCTCGCGTCCGCATTAGGTACTTAAACCGTTGCTCCTCTCCGCCCCGGAGGCAAATACTCTACTTCTTAACCCACTACCTCCACCCCAACCTGGGCCTGGGTGCCGGGGCACCTGGGTATTTCTGAAAGGGACTTGGGTGGGAGCGCAGGTTTCAAAGCAAGTGAAGGACGCTGTATTTAAAGACAGGGAGGGGCGCCGGGAGGGACCAAGAAGAGAGTCTTTCAGTCTCCTAGAACACAGATTTTCCTAAAACTACGTTCCCTGGAAGGCCTTCCAACTCCCCCCTCCCCGAGTCAGAAGGCTCCAAGGACTCAAAGAAACCCGAGTTCTGACCGCTCCTCTTCACAGATTAATCTTGGATCTCCACCCACTCCGTCCCGGCCTCAGTAACCGGTTCCTTGAGGGCAGCGCTTTAGCACCCAAAAGCCCATTTCAGAAGTGGGCGCCGCTGAACAAGATGTCCAGCTCGCCATTAAGTGTATCTCCCTCCCAGGTACTTACAATCCCCAAGCAGGAAAACTTTCAGCAAGAGCCGGGTGCTCGCAATACAGTTCTGGGTAACCACCGAGGCAGCTTATATAATCGCCCGCGATACTGTTCGGCAGATCTCCGTGCACGGCCTCACGGCTCAGCACATGGGCACCCTCTGGCCCCGGCGCTGAGGATCGCGAGCATGCCCCACCGGCGCCTTCCACAAAGCAGCAGGGCGATCTCCAGGGCTAATCAAACGCCAGTAGTGCGTTCAGATTCCCGCAAACCCGGGCTTGCTCGTCCCGGTAGTTGCCTACGTTGGTGCGTTGGTGGCTCACTGTCTTAACTGCATGTGTACAAACCTTCTCTCCAGGGTTGCGGGGGGGAGGGAGGGGAGCGGATGGCGACCGGGTAGGGAACTGGTGGAGGTCTGAGGAGGGGTTCTAGGTCTAACCTGACCAAAACTCTCATCCACACAGAACCCGAGTTCAGAAACGGTCTTAACGTATCCCACTGAAAGGGGTGCCAATTTTCCAAAGTTAGAGACCACGCAATTGAATTTCCAGTACTCTTCAACCTGGCCTAGGCGGGGACAGGGCAGAGAAGAGGAGGGTAGTGACCAGAGAAACCCACCTTTGAACCCAAGAAGCACTGACCATTCAAGCCATCCCTCCTCCCTTCCTTCAAAGTAGTTAGCGGCTTATTCTTGGGTTACATGTGGACACACACACACACACACACACACACACATTCCGCGCCATCACCTTCTGCCTGCTCCTCCAATGTAAAGACTGCGTTTTTAAATCACTAGGAAAATGACTAAGAAGCTCAGAGATCACATTTCAATACACAGCACATTTCCCGAAGCTGGGGGGCGGGGGGTTGCAAGTAGTCACACACTCACACCCGTGAACCCCCAGAGAGTCCACCCTGGCGCCTGCAACCTCAACTCGCTCCGAGACAAACCAAAGGAGAAACAACGCGGACAACAAGGATAGGCAGGAGCCAGTGGGGCTGCAGAGGGCATGCGGCTTGGGGGTCGCGCCCCGGGTTCCCGGCTCCAACCGCAGCGCGCACGGGGGCCGCTGCAGCTGGATCTCGCCCCGCAGGGCAGGCTGCAGCACGGGAACCCGGCGCCGCCTCGTGGGCTCCTCCAGCGCCCGCCGGGAATCTGGGGCGGGCGAGTCTGCAGAGGGGCTGCGGGTGGCTGGGCCGTGGCAGGGAAAGGGAGCCGGGTGCAGCTGACGAACCTGGACCGATCCCCTCCGCGGTCCAGAGTCTAGGGCTGGCTTCCACCTCTCCACTCTCCCCCACTACTCGCTCCCAGACTCTAGTTCGCGGTGGACTCCCGGCGCTGCGGTGGCTGAGGCTCTGGGCTCCAAGCTCCCTGCCTTGCCGGCAAACCTAGACGCCCGGCTCGCCTCCTCTTCCTCCCTCCCTCCCCGGTGCGGAACAAGGGTGCAGGTTAGCATCACCCGGAGCCCTAAGCGAACTGCATGAGCTGCCCGGACCAGCGAGTGCAGAGAGGGGCGACTGAGCTGGCGAGCCGCCGCGGCGATCCCCAAGGTGCTTTTTTGGTAGAGCTGATCACGCCGCCTTACCGTGACTGCAGGCTGCCACCGCCGGGGAAGCGGGGACGAGGATGGCGGGGAGGCAAGGCACTGCGCTGCTGGTTCCACCGCTTCACGAGCCGGATAGAGGTGCCCAAGAAGGTGCAGGTCCGGGTTCTGCGCTCAGCTCCGACGAGACCAACAATAGCTCCCGCGGGGAGTGGAGCCCCAGCGAGCCTCCAGCCGCGCGCACACGCCGGGCTCCGGCTCCCGGCCGCTCCCGGCCGGCGTCTCTGCCAGCACTGCTGCCCCACATGAAACAGCTGCAATCCCGAGGATTCTGGGGGTTGGGGCGGGGGTGAGCGCGCGGGTGTATGTGAGTGTGTGTGTTTAATAGCTTCCCTCCTCTTCTTCCCCTCCCTGCCTGCTCGCCTGCTTGCCTCCGTCCCCCACCCTCGCTCTCCTACACACAGGGCGAGCTAGCAAGCGAGACACACTCACACACGCGCGCGCGCACGGACACACACACACAAGCACGCAGGTTACATGAATGGGAGGCGGGAGCCAATCCTAAAAGCCCCGGCGAGCCACGCTTGGAGCAGGGCTGCACCATGGCGCCGGGGGGCGCCACACAGGTGATGAGCCCCTCCTCCCGTGGCCGCTTGCCCTCCTCTCCTCTCACAGGTCTCTGTTGTGTGCACGTCTTCCCTTATCTCCTTCCTCCCCTTCTCTGGGCTGCTTTCTCCATCTTCTCATCTCATTTTCTCTCTGGAATTCTCCATGCTCAGTATTTTTCTCGGATTCCTTTTTCACCCTTTCTTCCGGCTTCCTCACAGCCTTTCGGAAACTTTCTCCTTCCCTGTCGCTACTTTTCTGTACTTCCTTCCCTCTTGTTTTTTGTTCTCATTTCTCCCCCAGGAGTTGTTTATTAGTATGTTGTGTTGCTTGACTCCTCTCTCTCCGGAGTCACACCTCTCTGTTGGTCTTGGCCCTCTTCCTTGCCTAACCCTCTGAAATGCTTTTCCACACCTCCGACTCTTTTCCCGGGTTGTTTTTGCTAGTCGCAGCTGCTGCTTGGCCAAGGTAATTAACGGTTCCATCCTTGGGCATGCAAGATGTCTTAAAGACAGGCCTTCCTCGGACAACTTCTCCAGAACCATGGTAACAGCTCTGAGTCCTGTGGTAGCAATCATGGGGATTGGGGGGGCGGGGGGCCAGCAGTGAATATAGCCCAAGAAAATTTCCTTCCCTTATGAATCTGGATCATAATTGCCAGCGCTTTACCAAGGCAAGGACATTTGTTTGTGATGAAGAGACAGCTTGAACTCACAGGGGCTTTCTGCAGAGAGACTAAAGGTTTTCCCTCCCGCAGTCTGCTTCAGGCTGGCTATTGTAGGACTTGATTTCAGAGTATTTCCCTGGCCAGTCTCAGTATTCCCACCTGTAAAATAGGTTATAGCCATCTCACTAGGAAGAACAATGGACTGGAGGCCCTGGAGTACTTAGGAAGTTCTCGGCATTGATTTCCTTCACTTCTCCCACCTTCTGCTACCTCTCTCTAAGGAGCTTTGGGAAGGCTAGGTGAGACAGTGCTGATTTCATGCTGATGTGGAAGGAAGCTCGGGCCTTTAAAAACAAGCACACAAACCTGCTACTATGTGTTCCAGAGACCCTGTGCTGATTACAAAGCCATCCTGGTTTAAAAAATGGGGGGTGCTGGGTATCCCCACTTTAGTGCGCAGGAAGGCAAACATGGAGATGGGCAGATTGCTTTATAGTCGGGCTAATCTTAAAATCCTCGTGATGGGCGAACACTGACCAATGACAAAGGCCGGAGACTAACTGAAATGTCAAGTCTTGGAAGTCATTTGTCACCTGTGTGCCCTCACTGTAGGCATCAAATGCTGACTGCCATCATGAGGGGCACTCACGTTATGTCCTTCAGCGAGCACCGTTGACCATCTGATCTGTGCCAGGTATGGAACAGGCCCTGGCCGCTCAGGGATGAAGCCAGCCATCCCTGCTTTCTGGACGTCAGTGTCCTAGACATGTCTCATAAATGCTTAATGAGAAATAGAAGGACACATGCTCTGAGCAAGTGCCATTTCTTCAGTGGCACGTAGAGACCTTATGAAAACACGAGGCTCATGATGGGGATCATAAGGGATGTTTGAAAGCGAGAACACTGGAAATTACCTTCAGGCTACGTAACTTCTTCAAGCGATGGGAAGACAGACCCTGAGGTTGAAAGCAGTGGGTACTCGATGAGAAACAAGATAATCACCTAGTCTCAGAGTATCTCCCAAGATTCAGATCCTTTCAAAGCCACAATAATAACTTTAGACCAGAAAACTCTGTCAGGATCCGTCCTCATCAAAACACCAAAGTTAACATTATAGGGACAGTGTCAGGCATCATGGGTCCCTGGCATGTTGTATGATAAAGGACATAATGCCATTTCTGTGATATGTCTACAGGAAGTAAAGAACCAGAATTAATCACTGAGGCTTATAAAATAGCTCCAAACTGAGGGCTCCATGTTATTCAAAAACAGCAAAGTCACGAACAGGACTCCAGAGTAGCCTCAGATAAAGAAACAGCTCAGTTGATATGACAGTAACCTGTTGCGGGAGGTCCTCCCACTCCTCCAGCCTATAGCTGGACCATTGGGGCGTGGTCTCTCAGCAGCTATAGGCTGGAGGAGTGGGAGGACCTCCCGCAACACCAACCAAGACATGTGATTCTGGATAACGCATTAGTGGGGGAACTGGCAAAAGGTAAATAAAATTTATGTAATAATATGCCCATGTTAATTTCTGGTTTTGGTGGATATATAGGAGACTATCCCCCATGTAAATGAATAGGCAGCTGAAATATTTAGCGGGTCAAGAACAAAGAAGTAGCAAAGCCAGTCCTTATCTTTAAAAAGAGACACTTACGGAGGTGTGTCTGCCTGAAAGGGGCAGTGTGAGCCCAGGGTGTCCATCCTGGTTCAGGGGGCAGGAAAGGCTTCCTGCAAGTTTAGCTTCTCAAGACAGGCTAGAGTGGGAAGGGAGAGGGGCTGCTCTCTTAGCCAGGACATGCACAGATGCACGAGGAACTTGAACCATACGTGGATGTGGTGGCCATGACTGGACCAAGTGTAGAGCAGTAAGCATGCTTCGGTGATGGAGGGGTATGATGGAAGCCCAAGAGCCAAAGCTTACTTGCTGGGGATGGGAGAAAGCTACTGAAGGTTCTTCGCTTGGGAGGGATGTGCTCTTGAGTTTATCTGACACAAGATGATTCGGCAGTAGGAGGGAAAAATAAGGAAGGCGGATAGCTCGGGGAGACAAAAGATAGGACCAAGCGAGTCATTTAGGTAAACTAAGGCAGCTGTAATGAAGAAGACAGGAGAGATCGGAAAGCTTGGAGATGTGAGCACGTTTGGGTGACTGACTAGATGCTGTGGGTCTAAAAGTCCAAAGACACAACCTGTTTTCGAGTTTTGTTATCCTGGAGGAGGAGGGAACGACTCTCGTTGCAGTGTGGAGCAAGTTCGTAAGGAAGCAGAGGTTCTAGAGGGGAAATGAAGGCTGCTATCATCATGTGATAATCCAACTCTGTGGTTGGCTACACATGTTCCCATGCGGCTGTGTTGGGCCACAGAAAACACATGCTATCCCAGGGATAGCACCAAAGGCTGAGACACTGCTTACGAAAGACCTCCATCAATTATAATGCTGGAAACAGAGACCAAAACAACCTGAAAGGTCAAGGATGAAAAGTAAAAAGGGAATTAAGCTTTGTGATAATATTATACAATTACTCTTAAAGTATATTTTGTCTAGTTTTTCACACCATTAAAATATCACTGTTATTATGTAAAAAAATTATAACAGAATTCAGAATTGATAATTATACTTTGAAATTTTCTAGCAAGACTATCTGGGTAGCAAAAGGAAAGAAAAACAAAAATCTGTCAGCTATTAGGTATGATTGCCTCAGGTTGGTGGGATTATGACTTACAGGTATTTCCTTTTTTGTGTGTTTTTGTATGTTCTCTAACTTGCATAACGAATGTTCCTTATTTTCATAATAAAAATTAAAGACTGTCATTGAAAACACAGACAAGGCTGGGCACCCTCCCTATCCACTCTATCCCTTTTCAAAGTGCCTCTCCCCACTCCCCTGAAAAGCTAAGTGCCTTCCAAGCCAGGGTGAAATACCAAGGCATTTAACAAACCAGGGGAGCTTATCTGCTGGCCTGGAGAGGGGAGGGGGTTCTTTTATGGAGGCAGATGCAGTATTAGAGCCGTTGGAACTGTGTGTATTAAAGATATTTGCATTGCCCTTATTGATTCTGTAATATGTTACAAGGAAAAGAAAACAGAGAAAATGTGAGTCTTTAAAGGGCAAGTTTTAATTAGGAAACATATTTATTTGGGGGGGGGGGGGCGGAACACTTCTGTTCGGAGACCAGCCATTACTACAGAAAGGTTTCTGGATGTGGGTGTTCCAGATTCCGGGCAAGGGATCACAGAGGGGCGACGGCCAATGCTAGCCACCTGCCCTCTGATACTTTGTCAAATACCAAGCTGGTCACATAGGATTTAGACACCCACTGATAAGCCCCAGCAGACTTCCACAATTAGAGTAAGGAAAGGGCCAGACCATGGTCCCAGGCTTGGAAAAGCTTGCTGTAAGCTGAAAGCTCTGTAGAACAGCTCCCCATCACCCCTTCGCCCTTATTTCCTGGTTAGTGTGAGGGCCCATTAATCCCAGTACCAGAGCAGAACCCTTTCACCTCTCCCACTGTGGATCCGCTGAAGCCCTCACCGGCCCCAAGGGGGAGCCTGTGACAAAGAAGGCAGAACCACCCAGCCAGGAACAAAGATTAAGCAGTGCTGAGGGGTGCTTAAAAGGTGGGCAGATGGGTAGGGATGGAGTTGAGGAGGCAGGAGAAGTTCCTGGAAGTTCTCGGGTGTGGCCTGGAGCTTCCTGGATGGGATGAGGCATCTGTAGGATGTCAGAGGACAGGGGGCGAGTCACTGAACCGGGTGTGCTGCTGGCTCAGCAGCTTGAGAATGGAAAGTTAATGTCAGAAGGCACAGGCTCCTGGCCTTTATAAGCCACATTTGTAAAAGGCAAGAGGTGAAGCGGTGACTCCTCTGTGGCAGACAGACTCACGAACGCCTACGCAGTCTGCCCATGGGTTGTCTAACCTGTAAACTGTCCTTCTGCCTGATGGGAAAGAGATCTGGGAATAAACCACGACTTAGGACTTACGTTGTCTGCTTGCAAGTAAGGGGGGCACTTTTGCTCAGAAATGTCTCAAATACTCTCTTTGAGGGGAATGGTTGGCTCTTGTCCTCCGCCCTGCTCCTTACTTCTAAACTGTCAGCCGCTTATTTGGCATTTACATATCCTTAGCAAAAATTTCTTCACTGAATTAAG